AAAAAAAAAAAAAAAAAAAAAAAAAAAAAAAAAAAAATTTCAAAAAGTCTTTCATGATCAATCCCACCTTCCTATTTTTAATATACTTTAAATTTTGTATTATCTATATCCCTAATGGAGTCATTCAATCAGAGGGTCAAATCCAAACATAAGGAAACCATTAGTGAAATTAATAAATACCCTCAGAAGCTATAATAAAGCAATTAAAATTATTTTTAAGTGGGCTGGCCTGGTGGCGCACTCGGTAGAGTGCGGCACTTGGGAGCACGGCGGTGCTCCCACCGAGGGTTCAGATCCCATATAGAGACCGGTCCGCTCACTGGTTGAGTCCGGTGCGGGCGTGACACCGAGGGTTGTGATCCCGTTGCCGGTCACGAAAAAAAGACAAAAAGGAAAAAAAATTATTTTTAAGTAAGCAGGTTTCATATGGCTAAATAAATAAAAGAATACAGACATCAATGAGTAAAAATCAAAGCATAAAATCTAGACGGTTTTCAAAAAAAAAAAAACCAAAATAAATTAAAAACTCAGTGGATAGGTTAAAAAGCAGATTAGACAACGATAATTAATTAGTATACTGGCAAAGAGATAACTCTGAGGAAATTACTCTGCATTTATCACACAGAAATAAAAAACAAAAATTATGAGAGATTAAGAAGCATGGAAGATAAACTGAGAATACCCAAGATCCATATAATATGAGCTCCAGAATTAGAGAATAAAAAAGATGTGGAGAAGCACTACATGAAGAGATAAATGGGGAAAATTTTTCCAGAATTGAAGAAATGATCTAAATCCATAGACTGAAAGGTCACACACCAAGTTGCAAATAAGACAAATGAAAATAGTTATAACAACAAAAATAAACAGGAAGGAATTTTATCTATAAATTTTTATGTACAAATGAATGACAAGTGGATTGACAGAAAACTCTTAGTAACAACAGAGGCCCCAAACTGTCAAACTTCTGTGGGATTTTCAGCCATTGTGGTAAGGCCTTCAAATTACAAACATTCTGGGAAAAATTACAGATGAACTGACCCAGCTTCTATGTTATATTTAAATCATTCTCCTGCTCATTATTATGTATAAGTTATTTAAATAAATAAAAATGGTGCTGTGGCAGAAAAGACTATAACAATTTTGCTCATTAAACTGACAAAGATTTCTTCCAAATGAAATGCTGGCAATAAGCCAACTTATGACAGAGAAACAGCCTTCATAAAAAGTTGGCAATATGTAACAAGGAACTTAAAAATAGTAATTCCTCTTGACCTAGTAAATTCTAATTCTAGAAATCTAACCTAAAAAAATTTAGAAATTATTGTTATATAGAATGATCACTTCAATAATTTTTAAATTAATCAATAATATATGCAAGACACTGTGCTAGGCACAGACAGACTCCCTTATAAAGCTTATAAATTGCAAGGCTTTAAACCAACGTTAGGAAAGAGAAAGTTCAGGATGCTAAGTGTCATAACACTTAAAAAAATTTCAAAT